GATTTCCTGACCCTATACTGTATACTACTTTCCTGGGTTGTGGTTAATTGTGTGATAAAATACAATTACAACTTCCGTAGCCTCATTTGGGGATACAAACTTGTGTAGGAAAGATAAATATCCAAACAAAAAACAACTTGAAAATGAGGCTTCAAACTGAACTGCTGATGTTATTCATTCATAGTTGTGACCTAGCAATGTCATTCCCTTTCCTAGAAGAACACAACTGTGCTGGGGTTTTAAGCCCCTTTGGGGTTTTTCTCAGTTTCATAGTCTGTTACAGGAAGGACTGTTTTCCTGAGGCTACTCTATTTGTAGTCTTGATCCCCTTGCTATCTATCTATCCATCCTGTCATCTATCTATCTAATCTTTTTTTTTTTTACCTTACCACCTTTTTTACCTTCCATAGCTTCTTAAGGAACATCTCTACCCCTCCCACCCCTTCCCTGAGCCACCAAAGAATTCAAAAACAAGCTTCTATTTTACTCCCTCTTGTCTTCCTCTACTCAGTGTCATTAGTCTATAAAGAATTTCCTGGGGAGGACAGAGTGTCAAATGCAAAGTCCCAAAGCTTTTTCCTCTTCCCTGTTCAAATCCAGTAGATTGGCTTTTGTTAAAAAAAAAAAACAAAAACAAAAAACTAAAAGATTTTAATGCAAATGTCTGTGAGAAATGCTGCTAATCCATTTCTGTCCTACTGAAAATGCTGTCCTGAAGAATGCTCATAACCTGAATTGCCAGTAAGGGCTCTAATCTTGCCAACAACTTGAACTTAATTTGCCTATTATTTGGTTCCTTTTTTTGGTTGGATGTATACTGTCCAGATCTTGGATGGATACTATAATTAAAGTTCTTGTCTTGCCCAATTCTCTCTGGTCAACCTCAACGACTCCTTAAGATTCTTGTCTAAATCCCTATTTTCTGTTCAGACCCTAGCCCCAGGATATCTTTCTGGCATCTCAAAGTCAATACCAAAACTTAATCTTGCATCTCTACCTATTGTTTCTCCCTTTAAAGGGTCACTTTCAACCCAGTCACCAAAATCCTTCATCCCTCAGTTGTCACAGCTTGTATCCGCTCTTTTCCCTCCAATCTTCCCAGCTGTTCATTCCTCCATCCTACTTCCTTTCAGGTCCTGGTCCATTGAATCACCTGGTTGCTCTTGGTAGCTTTCTAACTAGCCACCCTGACTGTAACCTCTTCCAGTCTTTTTCATTCTGCTAAAATGCAGTTTTGCTTATTTAAATAACTTCTGCCTCAAAATTTATTCCCATTAGAAATATTCCTCAAGCTTGGCGTCTAAAACCCTCCATAGACTGAGCCCCACATACTTTTCCACTTTTGCCTTCTATTATGGGCACTTCTCTCCCTGCATCCCCACCCAGCATCTACATTTGTGCCTAATCATTTTTATATTTCTCAAATACCCTTCAAAACCAAAATTTAAAAAGTACCTCACCCATAAAAACTTCATTGACCCCCAAAGTGCTCATGTGACCTCACAGCAGCCCACGCTTTCATGGTAGCACAGCATGGTGGGGCACATTTCTTTTTTGAACAGTGAGGGGTGAATGGAATTTCCCCCCCCATAACCATTACCTAGAATGTGTGCCAATTCATGGTAAAGGTTATGGGATTTTGTTTTGTTTTTTATCATCTCCACCAGCTTGTCACTACGTGAATGATTGAAAATGACTCAGCATGCAATAGAATGTTCAATGTAGCTTCCTGTTTTTTCACTAAAGGTGGCCTCTGCCTCCTTGTCTTCCCACACTTCTCCCCCCAAAAAAAGGCTTTTTTAGGGGTGCCTGGGTGGCTCAGTTAGTTGAGCCTCCTACTTCGGCCAGGTCATGATCTCATCGTTCGTTGAGTTTGAGCCCCACGTCGGGTTCTGTGCTGACAGCTTGGAGCCTGCTTCAGATTCTGTGTCTCCCTCTCTGCCCCCACCCCGCTCACGCTCTGACTCTCGAAAATAAATAAACATTAAAAATAAAAGTTTTTTTTATTTTTGAATATTTTAATGTTTTGTGACTGAAGGACTTTCTTCTTGGGGCAGTGTCTCCCCAGAATCACTGGCTGTGTTTCGACTCATGGAAAGATAAATTAGTGAGAGGAGGAGGATGAAAAGGACAGATTCCTTGAGAGCAAGAATATGGGACTTTCCCAGCCCTGCCCTTTGGATGTGCTCTGACAACGAGAAGCCTCTGTGCAGCCTTGCTGTGGCCACATTCCTTTCCCAGTGGAGATGGAGGCAGGCATCACATCATCCCACTGTTGCCAGCTCCTCATGTCTATCAAGGAGCAATCTGCCAAATACTATGCATTTATACTAAATGAAGCACCACGATGAATGCCTGTTTTTCCCAGAACCTCATAACCATTACTACAAGTCAACCATCAAGTCAGGATTCTTAAGTGCATTTGAGCAGGATGTGGAATAATTATCCTAGCTATCTTCTGGTCTTTAAGAAACCATAGAAAATGGGATAAGCATGTGAC